AAGGGAGGGTCAGTAAAGTGGAAAACAATTCCAGGCACCCTGGACAGAAAGGAACTGGGGGCATGGAGGCAGGAAAGACAGCTGGTCTGGTGTGGGAGGAAGAAGTAAGGCCTTTGGGGGGGATAGCAGGAGCATAGGTCTGAAGGGAAAAATATATACTTTTGGAGAAATGCTTTTGGAGATGCAAAAGTGTGCTGATAAGTGTTTAAGAACTTGCTATGTATATGTACATACATATATATATATTCTGGAGAGCACACTTTTAAATTTAATCTACATTATGATCATTTTCTCCATCGTTTTCTTAAGCCTTAGAAATCAACAAAACAGTAAATCAAAGTCCTGATTTGCAGCATTTGCCAATTTCCAAGGTGTACATGCTCACCCTGAAAATTTTACTATTGACTGAATAGTCTCTATCATACGATTTTTAGTGGGAGAGACAAAAGACAACAGACATGGAATTAGAAGTGAATATAATATGGCAGCTTCTGTAAACTGAATAGTTATGGAGAGGGGCCGTGTGTTATATTGGCAAATGCACATATCTTTAGTGATTTAAACTATACTCAAGCATTCTCTCTTTCTGTTATGTGGGGTCAGAGCAGAGAGCACAGATATATTACTCTGAAACATGCTGATTTTCTCTTGCCAAAGAGCCACAGATCAAACAGTAAAGACCAGGGGAGCTAAAAGAAGAAATTGTCATTTTCATTAATGATAGTAATGGAGATAAGCAAATCTTTATTATAACAAAAATTTACTGTTGATATTTATGTATTTGTTGGATAGTTTTGAAAAAAAAATTGAGTACTCAATAAAAATCAATGCAGGTCCTTAATTTTTTTTTACTCTAATCCAGAAATACAGTATCTAGTTAGATGAAAAATTTAGAACTAGGGATAAGTTTTCTAAGTAATATCATTGCTATTTTCTAATTTTAAATATATCTTCCAACACATGATACAGAAAATGCCTATTTATTAACTACTTGACCAGTTTACAGAAGCAATTTCATTTTATTTTTAAGCCTAAATATTTCTAAATGTGAATGGGTAATAAACCCATTTTCTGTTGCCATATATGATACATTTGTTCTTACTCTATCAGAAATTAGAATAATTAATAGATTTGTTTTGTGAAGGTACATAGAAACAAGCCTTTAAACCTGAATATGTTTCAGCTATGGGTAAATAAAGAATTCTTTGGCTTACCCCCAACTCCCATCAAATACAAATTTTACTGTTATTTGTAATATCTTACATGTGTGAAAGTGGGTTTTCCACAATAGCTGTTATAAAATATCAACAAATTAGTGGTTGAAATGGAATTAGGAGGAGTAGTATCTTCAGTGAAACTACATTTTGACACACTTTATGTTAAAGACGCCCATGAATGATGAATAATATATGGTTATTATTTTAATTTTTTAAATATAAAATTACAAAAATAAGTATCTGTATTTTACATTATTTTATTCCATGTTTAATATTTGTTACAAAATTTTAAATAAATACTTAATTTAAATTGAATAAACAATGAGCTTAAAAAAAGTATTTGTATGAACTTTTTTTTTTGAAAAGTGCAGAGGGGAGGGTTAGTATCTGGTAAACCTAAAAATAAAAATTACTTGGGGAAGAGCTCCATATTTAAAAAGAACTACTGGTTAAACTGGAAAACAATTTGGAAGAAATTAGGTGTAGATCAACATTTTGTGCCACAATAAGTTCAAAAGGGATAAATAATTTTAAAGGTTGTATCACAAAAAAATAGAAGATGACAGATCAGGTACCTTTCACAGTTATGGTTTTATGGATGGGTTGGATTAGGTGCTATTGAGGTCCTTTCCAACTCCAAAATCCTATGATTCTGATTCTGTGAATGCAATGGAATATTACTGTGCCATAAGAAGCAATGAATAGGAAGAATTCAGGGATGCCTGGGAAGACGTCTGAACTAATGCGGAGTGAAGTCAACAGGATCAGGAAAATAATATGCACAATGGCTATAGGTGATATTTAAATAAGATATTAAAATTAATTAAAAGGAAAGAAAACAATAGTCTGAAAACCAGAAAAAGAAAAGTATGAGTTTGTTTTTTTTAAAAGAAGGCGTATTTCTATATAAAGTTTGAAAACCACTGAGGTGATGTACCATTTTGGGATGTTATTTAGCTTGCCATACATGTGCCATGTTTTCCTAATGAGATTTCATCCTCCTTAAGGAAGGAGATTGTATTTTATGCTTTCTTTGTATTCTCTGTGGTGTCTAGTACAATGCTTGGCATGAGAGACGATGCCTTGGAGTAGAGAGAGTTAGGCTTGAGGCTAAATAAGGGCTTTGAGGTTTTTGCTATTCACTAGCCGTTTGACTGTAGGCAATTTAGTTAAATTCTCTGTATCTTAATTTCCTCATCTATGAAATCGGGATAATAATCCATGCTTACCTACCTTACAGTGAAATTATGAGGATTGTGCTTTGTAAATTGTACTTCTATAACCCAGTACTCTAGTGTATCTCCAATCCTATTGATACAGGTAAGCAGATTGCAATTCAGCCATTCCTGCCCAGCCTTTTCAAAGCTCATCCATGGCCTCACATAAGTTAATCACAGGCAGCTTTCCTTGAATTCTAGGTTGGAGGCTTTTCTCAAGTTCTGACAATGCCAGGATTATAATGGAGCATGTGAGCTCTCCATTGGTTTTTCCTTGCTTTTCATAGATGTCCAGATTATCATCTTCTTTTTAATTATGCATTTACTTGATAAGATCTTTTACATAATTTGTCATTTATAAGTTTCATCTGTAAGCCTGTAGAACTTTAAATGGAAAAAAAATGGTTTCACAAAGTGGTAGTCTAAATTCCCTCAAATGTGAGTAGTGCTAGACTTTGCTTTATTCTGAGAAATACTGCATTCCAACCCATATATATATGACTGGCTTTCCATAGTGCTTATAGTTTAGTTGGGCCTGATAACATGAAGAGGCTGCCAAAATGTCGGATATATATATATAGTGCCCAACAGACTTACACTTCATGCAGATTATTTGTGACCCCCCCCTTCTAAGCAGTCTATGCATACAGCTTAGAGATGCATAATCCTCTCTTGAAAGTGACATCACATCTTCCTTTTTTTTTTTTTTAAGGCAATTGGGGTTAAGTGATTTGCCCAGGGTCACACAGCTAGTAAGTGTCAAGTGTTTGATCTGAGGCTGGATTTGAACTCAGGTTCTCCTGACTTCAGGGCTGGTGCTCTATCCACTGCGCCACCTAGCTGCCCCGACATCACGTCTTAGTGGGTTTAAGAATAGGGTTTTATCCACCAGAAGGAATTGTTTGAAGACTGACAAAGGGCCTAGGGGTCATTAAAAGGACTTTATAATTCCCCAAAGGCAATCTTGTCCATTTTCCCCTCTTCATTCAATGCTTTTTTCCTGTTTAATTCTAATTGCATAGTACTATAAAAATGTAAACTATTATATTCAGCTTTGCAGGCTAAGTTATTCTTGGTTGTAAGACTATATCTATTGCCTTTGGAATACTATATTACACGATCACTTCTCATTTAGAGTTGAAACTACAGGTCTTATGTGTTCCTGGTTATAGTTCCTTGGTACTTGACTGTTTCTTTCTTTTTTTTAATTTTTTTTTATTTTTAGGCAATTAGAGTTAAGTGGTTTGCCCAGGGTCTCACAGCTAGTAAGTGTCAAGTGTTTGATCTGAGGCCGCATTTGAACTCAGGTCCTCCTGACTTCAAGGCTGGTGCCCTATCCACTGCACCACCTAGCTGCCCCTGACTGTTTCTTTCCAGATGCTTGCAGGATTGTTCTTTGATGTGGGAGCTCTGTGTCATTATGCTCACCATAGGGCTTTCTTAGCTGGGGTGGCAAAGCCTCAGCTCTTGTTGACCCTGGACACATTGTCCATGGCCTGTCTTTGCTTATGCTGAGAGGTTATCCTGTACTGGGAATGGCTTTGCTGGTGCCCCTTTACTGTTGCCCTGGGGCTTCTGTCTGTAAAAGAAGTCACTTAGTTACTAATTTGGTTCCTTGATCATTATTCCATCTGGTACAAACTTAAGGTATTTGCTACTGTAGGTTTGTGGGAGCGAGTTTGGTTTGCCCTCCTGTTCAGGAAGCCATTTGGGTCTGAAGTCTTCAGGTTTTTTTTTCAAAGCTCTTATAATTTTACATAAATTTCCCCATTTGAAGCATTTCCTGTTTCATGGTTTAGAATATTCAAAATGGAGATGTAAGTGTGGAGGTTTGAGGTTTTAATTTACCTGTTTCACAGGTAACTTCACCCCCCTCTTGACTCTTTTGAGTTCAACGCACATGCTGCTTTCATGAAGCATTTCTCTCCAATCTATTTATATGAAGCTGATTTGAGATGGGATACTGAAGCTGCAGAGATTCAGGGATTGATGTCCCTTTATCTTATAACAGAAACTGCCAAGGCATACAGTTTGATGATGAAAGTGTAATAATCTCTTACAATAATAATAATAATAATAATAATAATAATCTCTTGTAACAATTCCTGCTTGTGTAGGAATAGCAACATAAAAAATAAATTGTTAGGACTTACTGATCGATAAAGAGGCAATATGCTGTATCACATAGACGGTGGGCTTGGAGTCAGGAAGACCTGGGTTAAAGTCCAACCTCTGACACACACTGGCTCTATGACCCTGGGCACATCTATCATACTCTCAGTGCCCCAAGGCAACTCCATAAGACAAGCTATTTACAGAATTGTCAATATAAATCAGTGGGAGGAGTCTCCATAGCTAGACTTCCTTACCCTCATGAAATCACAGATCTTTACCAAAATGAAAACAATTAAAAAAAAAAAAAGATGGGTAAACCATTCTCCTGGTTCCACATGCCTAAGTATAACAGCCTAAGTTAGTGTAAAGACCATGAATTTGAATTTTTGCGTTAATGAAAATCAAATGCTTACTTTATTTCTCATCTTTTGTGCTCTCCTAAAACCTGCAGGCCTGAATACCATAATAGTTGGGGTCAAGGATCTATAATCTGGAAGCTTCCTACAAAGTCATTTTTTAGTTATCCATCTCCCCGGATTGAAAGTCTTGCAGAACCAAAGCAGTTACAGGAAGAATATCTACAAAAAAGGTAGAGAGCCTATGGGAATATCCCAATGCCATAACCTAATTTTGTTAAATGCCTAAATATCTTTATGTTAGTTTGTGTGTGTGTGTGTGTGTGTGTGTGTGCACGTGCATGCACGCAGGAGCCATTTTCATTATCTTTAAGGGGTTACAAAAGGAAATAAAAGCATTACCACAGTCGTTACAAATCCATCCACTCCAACACTTTATGTTGCTGCGTTCTATGCTTTAGAACTGTGGTGAAGCCGAAATTCCTTAGAACCTGGGAAGGACTTTTCTAGACTGAGACATTTATCACCACCCCCATGGAAAAATGCAAATGAATCAACAACTTTTTTTTGTTGTTGTTGCTGAGACAGAGAAAAATAGAAGCATCACTGTGATTCTATTTTTGAATCTAAACTTGTTCCTGTTTCTAAGCCCGATTCAGTCTAATGTCTAGGTCCCCTAGCCTAAATAGCTATGTAATAACAGCAACAAAAATGGACATTTATGTAGTGTTTTAAGATCTACACATTGCTCTACATATAGTATTTCATTTGATCAGGGCCAGTGAACAGAGATGTAAATTCTCTGAAATAAGACTCCCACATTGGCAATTTTCTGTCCTCAAAGTAGCTTTTTTTTGTGGTTGTTTTTCTTTTTTCACTTAAGTGGGTTTATTCTGTGTATTCTTATGTTATTGAACTCTTTTTAAAACATCACTGTCACTTCCTAATTATGCTCAACCTCCCTCCTATAGAACCCTCCCCCTTAACAAATAAGAATATCAGGTAAATCAAATCAACATGATGGCCATGTCTAAAAATATACCCCTTATTCCATACCTGTCTGCCAAAAGGTAGAGGAATACTTCGCTTTCAGTCCTATGAAGTCACCTTAGGTCCCCACATAGATGGATTTTTCAAGTCCTTCCATTGGCGTTTTCCTTTACATTATTTTGATCATCATGTAAATAGTTCTCCTTATTAATTTTATTTCTACAAAACAGTCTTGTGAAATGAATCTGGCCACTCCTCATAGTAGAAAGATCAATGAAAAAAAACCATAGTAGAAGAAATGTAACCGGGGTCAATGTACAATTAGGTAAATTCAAGGATGGTTGAACAACCATACCCAGTCAATGCCATCCTGAAGGGAGGTCTCAATTGTCATGCTACAGGAGTCTGTACTTGACCCAACAACTTCAATGGATAAATAGAAGGAAGGTTGGATTATCAGAATTTCAGATGATATGGAGCTGGGAGGATATATAGAGCTATATGGGGGATGACAGAATCAAGATTCAGAAAGGTCTCAAGTAAGTTGTAACTATGAGCTAAAATCAATGAGATTAAATAAACAGCTACAGTTTTGTTTTGTTTTGTTTTGTTTTATAATTCTTTGGTTCTAAAACCCGATTTAACAGCAATTTGGGTAAAAAAGATATTCAATTAGTCATGGCCCCAAGCTTAATATAAACTCAACAGTATGGCACAGCTGCTCAGAAAACTAGAGTAGTCACAGGCTGGAGTAGTACTTAGCATTATTGCATACAGACCAAGGGGAGAGGTCATCACTGCACTGCTCAGACAATTGCTCAAGTGTTGTAAACAGTCCTGGGAGTGACCCTTGGCAGGGCTAGTAATAAATAAGAGAATATCTAGAAGAGGGTGACCAGAGTGAGAGGTCTAAAAACTCGATTATAGAAAGATTGACTGAGGAAACTAGGGAAGGTTGGCGTGGAGGAGAGAAGGCTTGAGAGGGAAGAAGACATGATCTTTGTGAGCAAATATTTAAAGTAAACATTGTCATATGGAAGAGGGATTAGATTTCATTTAGGTATCCTAAAGGGAAGAATGAAGAAAAATGGATGGAAATTTCACGGAAGCAGATTTTGGCCCCATAAAAGAAAGAAAAGTTAATTTTCTTCCTTTTTCCTTCTCTTCCTTCTTTTCTTCCCTTCCCTCCAATCTCTTCCCTTCCTTTTCTTCCTTGCTTCCTTCCTTCCCCTCCTTCTTTCCCTTGCTTCCTTTTCCTTTCCCTCTTTCTTTCCCTTTCACTTCCTTCCTTCTTTCCTTTCTTCCTAAAAATAGTTGTCCAACATTTGAATGTACTGTTTTGCAACATTGAATACTTTCTAGAACACTGGATATTTAAGTCAGCTATTCTTGTCAGGAATATTGTGAAAGAGATTTCTTTATTTGGAGGGAAATTGGACTAGATGATCTCCAAAGTCCTTTCCATGTGTGAAATTCTGTGATTTTTCTTTTGGCAAATATTTACATATGGATCTGATAATTATATATTTATATATTGGTTTGCTAAATGTTTATGTTTATAGATAAAATAACACTATATTTATCCAGCATCACTGGAGAAGGAATCTAAGATAACTGAATTTTCTAGACAATTCAGGCTTATCCCTGTAAACTGTCAAATCTTGCTTTAACATTTTAATCTTATTCTATTTTTAGATCTGATCTTGTTCAAATTTTAGGGTAGGAAAAACCAGAAGAGGCTGGGTAATTGGAGAGAAAGAAGCTAGTGGAGAGGAAGAAATTGAAAGTAAACCACTGGTGGAACAAGATGGGAGAGGATTTCATTTAATTCACTTCAACAAGCACTTATTAAGTGAGAACTGTGTGCCGGGCATGGGAGCAAAGATACAAGCTTAAGGGGTTTCCTTGGAAAGGAGATAGGACACTTCTTCTTCTGAGACAGGAAGGAAGGTGGGGAGGACAGGCCAAGCTATAGAAGAAATTGGAGGTAAAGAAGAGGGACATTGTGAGGGAGCTTTTGTCCATGAAATTCTATTATGAAGTAGGGGTGGACGAGTCTGATAAGATTAAGGGGGAGGAGAGAAGGAGTCTAATTTAACAGTCAAGAAAAATATAAGCTACTGCTTATATCTAAATAGAAAGGCAGAGAAGGGAATAGTGTTGTAAGATCCAGCTATCACCAGACTACAAGAGATCACTTTAAAGGTTAGGCTCCTATTCTAAAAATAGAATAATTTTGTATACCCTACACATTTCTCTGTCTTCTTGAACAAAAGATGTTGAATATGTTGCACTTTTTTTTTTAAAGTAAAGACACAGGGCCATCATTGTGAACTCTAATTATTATATGTACCATGCTATAGTGTAGTGATGTCCTGAGGATTTGTTGAGGTGGATAGGGATATTTTCCCCTGGACTGAATGAACCTAGGCTACTGTGCTTTGGAGTTGTCCTATTTACTTTCTGTCTCCTTCTTCCCTTTATGTTTGACCTCTGTTGTTACTTGCTGCTATCAGTGTGCCTGCTTGGAGTAGCCAGCCCTTCTGATTATCTGTGTGCTATTGAAGGAGTAACCAGATCATGAAACTTGTTAGAATTGTGTCAGTGAGTAAATAAACATTTATTAAGCACTTCCTATTGGTCTTAAGGCCAAAGTAAATAGGCTGTTATTGAGGAGCTGAGGTGAGGGACTCTCTCTTCCTAGCAAAGTATTCGTGTCTTAGGAACATCGTGACATCTATTTTTGTTGCTTAGAAACCTTTCCTTGTTGATGTCTAGGCTGTCTGCTATCCTCCAGTTAGTAGAAGGTTCTGGATAAGGGATAGTCTGAGAAGTGAGATATTACTGTATATATTTATAGGTAGAAATTTATCAAACTACTTTCATAATTTTTATTGTTGTTGGGTTGATCTTTCCATTCAGAGGCCTGATCATTGCTTAAGAATCTTATATTTTACTCTTAGGAGAATGAACTCAACACATATCAAGAAACTGAATGGTTGCAGCATTTCAAGGATCTCAGAGTTTTATGGCCACTTCTGGTGCCAGGCCAGTTAATCTATGGCCCTGTGAATATTTTTCTATTTTCCCCCTTACCTGTCACACATGTGCACATTCACACCTGTGCACACATATGTACATTCTAGCTTTGTTCAGAAACAATGTGTCAGATGTTTTCAGCTATGCCAGCTAGTTTTTTGATCTGTGGAGATTATTTATTTTAAAATGTAGGAACTATGACTAAGGAAGTATTGTCATATCCAAAGGGTGTTTGGGGAACCAGAGCAACTGTTCTAAAAAGACCATAAATCAAATTATGTAAAAGGTGCATTTAAATTCAGAGAAAAGATTATTCCATACCTGCCAAAAAAAAAACCCAACAACTCAGGAACTATATGAACACAATTACAAAATACTTTTCACACAAATAAAGTCTGATCTAAATAATTGGAAAAATAGCAGTTGCTCATGGGTAGATGGAACTAATATAATAAAAATGACAATTCTACCTAAGTTAATTTACCTATTCAATGCCATATCAATCAAACTACCAAAAATTATTTTATAGAGCTAGAAAAAACAATAGCAAAATTCATCTGGAAGAACAAAAGGTCCAGAATATCAAGGGAATTAATGAAAAGAAATGCAAGGGAAGGTAGCCTAACTGTACCAGATCTTAAATTGTATTATAAAGCTGCAGTCATCAAAACTACTTGGTACTGACTAAGAAATAGAGTGGTGGATCAGTGGAATAGGTTAGGTATGCAAGACACAACAGTCAGTGACTATTGTAATCTGCTATTTGATAAATCCAAAGACTCTAGTTTCTGGGATAAGAGCTCACTATTTAATGAAAACTACTGGGAAAACTGGAAAAAATATGGTAAGGCATAGACCAACATCTTATACCATATACCAAGATAAAGTTAAAATGGGTACATGATTTAGATATAAAGACTGATACTATAAGCAAACTAGGAGAGCAAAGAATAGTTTACCTATCAGATCTATGGAGAAGGGAAGAATTTCTGACCAAACAAGAGATAGAGAACATTATGAAATGCAAAATGGATGATTTTGATTATATTAAATTGAAAAGTTTTTACTCAAACAAAGCCAATACAACCAAGATTAGAAAGGAGGCAGAAAGCTGGGAAACAATTTTTATAGCCAGTGTCTCTGATAAAGACCTCATTTCTAAAATATATAGAGAACTGAGTTGAATTTATAAGAATACAAGTCATTCTCCAATTGATAAATGGTCAAAAGATATGAACAGGCAGTTTTCAGATGAAGAAATTAAAGCTGTCTATAGTCATATGAAAAAGTGTTCTAAATCACTATTGATTAGAAAAACACAAAACAAAACAATCTTGAGGTGTACCACATCACACTTATCAGATTGGCTAACATGACAAAACAGGAAAATAATAAATGTTGGAGAAGATGTGGGAAAACTGGAACACTAATGCACTGTTGGTGGAGTTGTGAACTGATCCAGCCATTCTGAGAGCAATTTGGAACTATGCCCAAAGGGCTATAAAACTGTGCATAACCCTTTGACCCAGCAATATCACTTCTAGGTCTGTATCCCAAAGAGATCATGCAAATGGGAAAAGGACTCACATATACAAAAATATTTATAGCAGTTCTTTTTGTGGTAACCTAGAATTGGAAATTGAGGAGATGCCCATCAATCGGGGAATGGCTGAACAAGTTGTAGTATATGAATGTAATGGAATACTATTGTGCTATAAGAAATGATGAGAAGGTAGACTTCATAAAAACCTGGAAAGACTTATATGAACTGATGCTGAGTGAAATGAGCAGAACCAGAAGAACACTGTACACAGTAACAGCCACATTGTGTAATGACTGACTTTGATAGACTTAGCTCTTTTCAGCAATGTAAAGATCTAAGACAACACCAAAAGTCTCATGATGGAAAATGCTACCCATATCCAGAGAAAGAACTATGGAGTCTGAATGCAGATCAAAGCATACTATATACTCTCCCTTTCTTTTATTGTTTTGTTTTGTTTCTTCTTTCTTGTGGTTCCTCCCATTAGTTCTAATTCTTCTTTACTTTATGAGTAATGTGAAAATATGCTTAATATGAATGGGTAAGTAAAGCCTATATCAGATTGCATGCCATCTTGGGGAAGGGGGAGGAGAGGGAAGGGGAGAACATTTAAAACTCAAAATCTGATGGAAGTGAATGTTGAAAACTAAAAATAAATTAATTAATTAATAAAAATTAATAGATAAAGATTATTCCAACACACTTGAACCACAGTAGACAAGGTCTTTTATTACCATCTAATGATTACTCTGATGCATTTTCCAGTCTCACCTATAAGAGTTAGGCTGAGGGAGTGGAGCCAAGATGGCAGAGTAAAGGCAGGGACTTGCTTGAGCTGTCCCCCAAACCCTTCCAAATACCTTTAAAAAATTACTCTAAACAAATTCTGGAGCAAAACCCACAAAAAAACAGAGTGATACAAATTTCCAGCCCAAGATAACTTGGGAGGTTGACAGGAAAGGTCTGTTGCACCAGGGTGAGAGGGGAGTTCATTCCAGTGCAGGCTGTACTAGTGCAGACGGGGCCCCAGCAAGCTCAGAGCATGTCTCAGGGTGACCGAATCACTGGCAGCAGTGGCAGTCTCCAGACCTCTCAGCCCACGGAGGCCAAAGACAACTTAGAAGGTCAGCAGGAAAAGTCTGTTGCGCCTGGGTGAGAGTGGAGTGCAGTCTAGCACAGGCCACACCAGCACAGCCCCAGCCCCAGCAAACCAGGAGCAGGGCTTGGGAGTGACTGAATCAGCAGAGGCAGTGGCAGCAACAGCAACTGTTTCTGGAGCTCTCAGCCCACAGTTGATAAGGGGGTGGAACAACTGGTCAGAAGGAGATTACCGGGGTCTTTTTGCTAGCACTGAGGCAGGACTGTTGCTTTGCCCATACTCGGATCTGGGTCACAGTCCTGGGTGACAGTGCCAGGACGAGGAAGAGTGCTAGCATAGCAGAGCTTGTGGCCACAGTGGAGGGGGGACCCTCCTCACAGTTCCAGGATGGAAAAGAGTGCTTGTAGTCACTCACAGACTACAGCACAGGTCAAGAGAGTAGTAAACACCTCTCCTTAGATCATCTTACCTTGGAAGAACTGAAAAGTTACAGGTCCCTAGAAGTATCTCTGAAAACAACTGCGTAAAACCCCTAAATCTGGGGGTTGTCTGCTCTCCATCCTGGAAGCAGAACTCTACTTTAACACAGTTAAAAGTCAAGTAATAAGCTGGGAAAATGAGCAAACAATGGAAAAAACCTCTGACTATAGAAAGTTATTATGGTCACAAGGAAGATCAAAACACACACTCCGAAGAAGACAACAAAGTTAAAACTCCTACCTCCAAAGCCTCCAAGAAAAATATGAATTGGTCTCAGGCCATGGAAGAGCTCAAAAAGGATTTTGAAAATCAAGTAAGAGAGATAGAGGAAAAACTGAGAAGAGAAATGAGAGGGATGCAAGAAAATCATGAAAAACTAGTCAACAGCTTGCTAAAGGAGACCCAAAAAAATACTGAAGAAAATAACACCTTAAAAAATAGCCTAACCCAAATGGCAAAAGAGGTCCAAAAAGCCAATGAGAAGAATGCCTTAAATAGAAGAATTGGCTAAATGGAAAAGGAGGTCCAAAAACTCACTGAAGAAAATAATTCCTTAAAAATTAGAATGGACCAAATGGAAATTAATGACTTTATGAGAAATCAATAAACAATAAAACAAAACCAAAAGAATGAAAAAATAGAAGACAAGGTATGAACTATCTCATTGGAAAAACAACTGACTTGGAAAACAGATCTAGGAGAGATAATTTAAAAATTACTGGACTACATGAAAGCCATGATTTAAAAAAAAAAAGAGCCTAGACATCATCTTTCAAGACATTATCAAGGAAAACTGCCCTGATATTCTAGAACCAGAGGGTAAAATAGAAATCTACTGATCATGATCTGAAAGAGATCCCAAAATAAAAACTGCCAGGAATATTATTGCCAAATTCCAGAATTCCCAGGTCAAGGACAAAATATTGCAAGCTACCAGAAAGAAACAATTTAACTATGGTGGAACCACAGTCAGGATAACACAAGATTTAGCAGCTTCTACATTAAAGAATTGGAGGGCTTGGAATATGATATTCCAGAGGGCAAAGGAGCTAGGATTACAACCAAGAATCATCTACGCAACAAAACTGAATATATTCCTTCAGGGGGAAAAATGCATATTCAATGAGATGGAGGACTTGCAAGCATTCTTGATGAAAAGACCAGAGTATTAGGATAGTTAGAAGGAGTATATATAGACAGGTGTGAGTTGAATATAAAGGGATGATATTTAAAAAATAAAATGAAGGGCTAAGAGAGAAATGTATTGCGAGAAAGAGAAAGAGAGAGGTAGAATGGGGTAAATTAAAGAGGCAAGAAAAAGCTCTTATAGTGGAGTGGAAGAGGGGGAGGTAAGGGGGAATAAGTGAACCTTACTCTCATCAGAATTGGCTCAAAGAGGAAATAACATATACACACAATTGGATATAGAAATCTGTCTTACCCTACAGGAAAGTAGGAGGGGAATGGGATATGAGAAGGGAGAGGGTATAGAAAAGAGGGCATATTGGGGAAGGGGATAGTCAGAAGCAAAACACTTTTGAGGGAGGACAGGGTGAAAGGAGAGAGAGAATAGAAAAAATTGGGGGGGAATGGACTAGAGGGAAAAACGATTCTCCTGGTTTTTCCCTTTTGTTTTGATTCTTCCTTCACAACATGATTAATGTGGAAATATGTCTTAACAGATTGTACATGCATGGCCTGTATCAGATTGTATGCCATATTGAGGAGGGGGGAGGGGAAGGAGGAAGAAAAAAATTTGTAACTCAAAATCTTATAAAAGTGAATGTTCAAAACTATCTTCACATACAATTGGAAAAAAATAAAATACTGTTAAGTGGAAAAAATGAGTTAGGTTGATCTTACTCTTTTCCCCCAATATTTTCATTTAACTTTATACAGAAACTTGTGGATTCTTCTATCTTATGCCCCTATATTTTCTATCTTTCCAGTCACTAGATTTGTAACAAAAAAAAAAATTGGTGGGCACAATTTCTTTTAACCCAGTTCTTACTGAATAAAAATGCTAATTATTTGAAATTCATACATGACAACAATGCATTTGGTCATTTGCCTGAGAGATAAACTACCTTCTTCATGTTTATTATTGTTGTCATGTTTATGAGAGACAGGAAGGTGCGAAGAAGGAACATCAGTGGCCTACTATACCTTCTGTCATTAATATGTGACAAGTTTCTATTTCTGCCAGCTACTCAATGGTCGGTATCATAGGAATTGCCTTAGACTGTTTTGGAGAGGTAATTCAACCTGGGCAACAGTGCCCACTTGAAAATGAATTCCTAGGACAGGGATTATGAGTACAACTGAATTGTAATTATGGTTCACATGCCCATCAACTGTAACATTTCAAGTCTCTGTTTGCCTGCAGGCCGTATAGCTCCCCTGAATGGCACGTGAAAGATCCTTCACTCATCCCTGAGGCTTCTGTCCGGATAGTTCGACTCTCTGTGGCTAAATCTACACATCCAGACTTTGTTGCTCCCAAACAGGTAAAAGGGCCTATGTCAAAGCAAATGTATCTGACCTTGTGGGAACCTGACCTTTAAAGTGACCTCTTGTAGTGTGGTGGTAGTTGGCTCTTACAACACTATTCCCTTCCCTGCCTTTCTATGTGGAGTCTTTCCTTTCTTTCCATTTTTTTATAGTTTCCTTCATTGTTAAGTTAGACTCTCTCCTCCCCCTTCCTCTTAGAGAATTACATGGACACAATCTCCCTCAATGTCTCTCTTCTTTACCTCCATTTTTTTCAGTAGCTTGGCTTGTCCTCTCTCCCTTCCTTTCTGTCTCAGAGGAAGAAGTGTCCTGTCTCCTTCCAAGGAAAACCCCCTAAGCTTGTATCTTTCCTCCCATGCATGGCACATAGTTCTAACTTAGTAAGTGGTTGTTGAAATGAATTAAATGAAATCCCCTCCCATCTTATTTCACCAATGGTCTGCTTTTGATTTCTTCCTCTCTACTAGCTTCTTCCTCTCCAACTACCAACCTTTTGTGGTTTTCCCTAACCTAAAAAAGTTGCCTTCAACACTCCATTGAGCTACTATTGTCCCATCCCCTTTCTTCCTTTGATCTCCAAACTCCAAAACAAGTCATTGGCAGTCAGTGTAGACACTTCATTGCCATTCACTCACTCCTTGACCTTTTGCAATCTGGTTTCTACCCTGATTACACAACCATGTTCTTAAAGGTCAATGATGAATTGGGGCGCGGGGGGGGGGGGAGGACCAGATCTGTGATTTCTTCAATATAGGAAGCTCTTGGTGAAGGATTTCCTTTGTCAAGGCAGCTAAGCCCCTTTGCTGCAGTTTGTGGTCTTTGAGAGCTAGCTGGGGCACTGACAAGAAAAGTGAGTTGCCGAGTCACAATATGTGACCGTGTGTGAGTCAGTATGCATTAGAGGCCGGGCTCAAACTCAGATCTTCCTGACTCAGAGGCCAGATTTTATTCACTAACCATGTTGCCGCTCTCAATATGAATTTCAAATCAAGAAATCTGAAGTCCTTTTTCAGTTCTCATCTTTCTTGATTTTTTTTTTTTTTGCAGTATTTGATGTTCCTGACTAATGCTTCTCTTTGGCTTCCTGGATACTGTTTTATCCTGATTTTCTGAAGTCTCTCTGACTGCTCAAAGGACTTCAGATCAACAAGCAATTATTAAGTGCCTCAGGAACACTCTCCTTCTTTTTTCCCTCCTATAGCTTAAATGCATATATTCCCTATATGCCTCATGCCTCTTAGATGTGTCTGCCTATTTGAAAGTGAACCTTTGAGAGCAGGGACCGTCCTGCTTTTCTCTTTGGAACCACACCACTTAGCACAGTGCTTTGGACTTAGTAAGCATTTAAAAATGCCTTTTCATTTATTCATTCAGTTCTCTTCTCTTCCTACACTATTTTTCTCATTGATTGTATAGATGGCTGTGGTTTCGGTGATTACCACTATACAGATGATTTCCACACATATATTCCCAATCCTAGCCTTTTTCCAGAACTCTTATACATTTTTATTATTACTTAAATTATTATTAAAATTATTATTTATTTTTATATTTTGTATTATATATTATATATTTTTATATTTATATATTTTATATATTTACACATCAAACAGCCTACTAGATATTTTTTATTGGTTTTGTGGGCACCTCAAATTCAACATATCCAAGAATGAACTACTTTACCTTCAGCTCCTCCTGTTTAATTCACTCACATCTTTTAATGACGTCATTATTTTACTTATCAAGACTCCAAACTTCAGTTATCTTGGACTCTTTTGACCTCTCTCTCTCTCTCTCTCTCAGCCCCCAAATCCACTCAGTCCTTAAGTCTTATAGTATCCTTTGTAACAGGCTCCATTTTTAAATTCTCAAATCCACTGCCTTAATTCAATCTTTCACCCCCTTTTACATGGACAATTTAATATCTTCCTAACTAGTCTCTTTTTCTCCACTTGCAGCCACCTTTAATCCACCCTACATCTGATTATGTCATTCCCCTGCTCAAAACTCATTAACAATGTTAAATTGTGTACCAAATGAAGCCTAGAGCTCTTTAGTCTGGCATTTGAGGCTCTTCAGAATCTTGTCCCAGCCTCTTTTTCATGGTATGAAAACATGGAATTTGGAATCAGAAGACTTGGGTTCAAATACTGCCTCTTAACAGGTATTAGCTATGTGATTCTGGGAAAGTCATTTAGCCTCTCTGATCTTGTTTTATCACCTATAAAATGGGAATAATGATACTTGTTCTATCTTATGGGGTTGCTTAGAAGAAAGTGCTTTGTAAATTTTAAAGCATTGTAGAAATGTGAGTTGTATTCAAAATCTAAGTGGAACTGAACTTTTTGTTATTATCCCAATATGTGCTACATTTTTCCCACCTCTATGCATTTGCTCATTCTCTCCACCTGTGCCTTTTAACAGTCTATCCATTCTTCAAGGCTCAACTCAAAGGCTACCTTCTCTAGGAATCCTTCTCTGTTTCACCTTTCCCTTCAGTCAGAAGAGATCTCTAAAATTCTGTTGTATTTTGCTGGTACCTCTCTTATAGCACTTAGAAAATTCTTCTGTGTATTGTAATTATTAATGTAATTATTTTTTAGTTTATTTATTAGAGTTTAAGCTTCTTGAGGGCAATGACTATGTTGGGTTCATCTTTGTATGTTTCATAGTGTTTATTGAGTAAGATTCTTTTGGTCTCCTTATGGCAATTGATTTACATTGGTTAAGCTTCTTTATAAAATTATTGTAATTGATTTCAGTGTCATTTTTATTGCCTGTTGCTTATTTTTATTATCAATTACTCTTGTTTAAACAGTTTAAGATTTACTTGTTACAGTTGTATACTTTATCTATTCTTTCTTCTAGCTTATTACTAATTTTATGATCTTTGCTCTGACAAGTTGATGTTATATAAACATATGTTATATATAAAATTGATTATATAAAGACAACTGATTTATAGGTGACTCCCACATCAATAATGTCTTTTAAAATATAACCAACTTTATTTTTGTGAGATTATTTTAGTGTGTCCTATGACTGGCATCTATCAATTCTTTTCTCAAAGGAAGTAATCATGATAGATAAGAGTAATTATGTGCATTGCTTGATTTCTTTCATCCTTTCTTCCTGACCCATGCTTTCTGGTTTATTTCTCACCTATTCCCACCTATTCCTAAAATCACTTGAGTGTCAAAGTGTATATAGATTTAATTTGTAGGGTCTTAGAATTTTTTATAGAATTTTTCTACTTCTTGATTCTTTGCAACTGATGTTGATATATATGTTGCAATTGTTTTCACAGTGATCTTTTTGCAAATATCTATCATGAGTATTTCAACATGAAATGACCAAATAGCTAAGGAAAGAATGGTTCTTGTTACCTTTGAATGTAAGATAAACCCAATTCTGCCAGCTCCTTTCTTTGTCCCTCCAAGCTGTACCTTTGAGTCATCCTTTCACTTGGCTGCAACTCCTGCCTTTCTTCTGGTTATTTATAGTGAGAATGTCAGGATTAATATGATTTTGCTCCTATAGCAGCATTAGATAAGGCTCCCATATTTAGAGTATCAACAGCCAGTAAAAATTTATAGATGGTCTAAAAGCTGTGTGATTCCTAGCACCTTCTCCCCCTTTTCTGTCATTTTGTTGAAGTTACTTCAGAAATGGAAAGGGACCACATAGGACAAGATAACCACATAGGACTGGGAGAGATTTTATATTTTTCTTTGTTTCACAGGTTGCCATGGTCAAGGAATTAATCCCCAAGTGGCCAGCCTATTGGTGATGAACTTCACTGTATTTAGTTAGACTGGTTCTTGGAAAGCAGATTTGGTCTGTTGCCTGAGTCTTACTCAAAGCCTTTCCAGCAGAGTTGAAGTTGCCAGGGCTGACTTTCAACTGGCATAGTGTTTGAGGACCCAAGGTCACCTCTGTGCCCTGAGGAGGCATCAGAGTAGGACTTTGCCAAGCAGAGAGATATTGTGTCCCTAGGCAAGTTCTGAATCTAAACTTGTTTATAAAATCTTGCAAAGGAGGATGATGGATAATTTTGAGTAATGTGGCTTCCTAAAGCAAAGAGAAGTAGTGGAAAATAAAATCAGTTTAAAGAAATTTGGCAAGAGATCCAACTAAGTAGTCATCTCAAGAGCATTTAAGGATAAAAATAGAAGGAGGACAACGAACAGAAGAAAAATAGAAAAAATCTGCAATTTTTTTATAACAATTTCTTTTCAACATCAAAGAAAATAGAACTACCACCCTTGAATTCTTAACATCAACATCCTGAATATACTTATAGCACAGGTAGCATAATGCATGAATCAGATATACCAGTACACCAAATCTATACTCAATGTATGCCTTTGACTTATAGAAGAAAATACTAGACATAAGGGGGAAGATTGGACCTTATTAATACTGAAGAAAGGTGAGCAATAGAACATCAACAAATATCAACCTATATGCCTACCTTCCCATCTATATAAAATGTTTATAAGATTCATCTACCCACTGAAGTTATCATAAGTGAGGACATTAGTGGATAACAAGCCTTTTGCAATCCATATTCTAAAATGGACCCTACCTTTACCTTTTCACAATTAGCTGAAAGATGTAGTATAGATAAGATCTCACTGTGCCTATTGTTTGTTGAGTATTAAAAAGTATTTTATTTAGTAGAATGAAATGCTGCCTTAAATGCTTTCTTCCAACAAGGTGTTTTCCATTCACACATCAAAACCATTTGAGTCTTTGAAAGATATAATGATAGCAATAACTCTCTTCAAATATCTTTTGATCATAAATATTAGATGAACCATCAAACAGGGAGATCATCAAAGGTGTTCTCCACTGTGACAGAGGAGATCCAGCACAGAGTTCAAGTTAAAGAAGCCACTCCACGTATTCCTGCTAGTGGATGACATTGTTTTGGTTGCATCAGGCTCTGAAATATTGCAGAACTTACTGGAAGAGTTTGGCCTGGCCATCTGCACAGGAAAGACCAAGTGGATGACGTGCCTATGCCCATGACTGGCATGAATTGTAGGGACAACCTATACAACTTGGCTATTGGAACGTATTCTTGGGACAGATGGTGGTGCAGTATTCTGGGTCTAGAATTAAACAGGAGGAGGGAGGAAAATGGTCTGGATTGCCTTCAAAAGTCTGCAGAGCTCTTTTAATAACACCAGGATTCTGTCAGAATCAAAGGTTCATCTTTTTAATACTATTACCAATATAACATTGTTAAATAATTAGAAGAAATAGAATACACTAGTCTCTGAGGGACTGAAGATACACACACACACACACACACACGCACACACACACACGACCCATAGGTAAACGGAGAAATTCATGATGGGTATAAACAGGCTACAAAAAATACAACGGGGGAATTTTTGAAGAACAAAAAGATAAAAGGTCATCATGGAAATGCATGATGGGAAAAGAAAATAGGTTGGTTGGTTAGATAGATGGTGAAGGTGAGGAATGACAGGTGGACAGCCTTCGTACTCTACTAGCATCCTCATGATGTCAAGAGAAAGAGAGGCAGGACTCAAAGATGTTGGGTGATCATTTTTTTGGGTAGACTATTTTTTATGGGAAGACATCAATAAGAGTTGCACGAGATGAGTAGGCATGGATGAGTTGTGATATACATATAGAGAGCACATTCAAATTAAGGAGATCACAAATCTATTGGAGTATGCTTCCTAGTACTTGGCACATTACCCTACACATAGGAAGTGCTCAATAAATATTGTTGAATTGAAATAATGATCAATCACTCCCTTAGATTGCAAAATTCTGGAGAACACAAACTGTATTTTCTATCCCTTTTTATTTTCCCAGCACTTAAGTGTAGTGCTTTGTGGCCTGGAATCTCATCAGGTTGATTGGTGAACACATGAAACTGATTAGGTAATCATTCTCCTGATTGACCCCTATTATAGTCAGCATTTTTGGTGGTTCATTAATATTCCATTACAGTATATTCCATAAAAATAATTTCTTTTGCTTCTCCATAATCAGTGGATAACTATTTTGTTTCTATTTTCTGGCTACTATGAAAATTGTTGCTCTGAATATTTTGAAATATTTGAGACCTTTCCCCATCTATCCAACCACTTACTAATTCTTGTCAATTTTACAGCTACAATATTTCTCACATCAATACCCTTCTCTCTACTCACACAGCCACTGCCCCGGCTTAGGCCCCCTTGCCTCTTGCCTGATCTATTGCAATAGCCTTCAGATTGGTCCTGCCCTATGTATGTTCTCCTTCCATTCCATATTCCAGACAGCTGCTAAAGTGATCTTCCCAAATCATAGGCCTGACCATTTTATTTTCTTCCTCAAGAAGCTCCAATAACTTCCTATTCCTTCTGGTATCAAATACAAACTCCTTGGTCATATAAGCCCCCAATAATCTTACTCCAGCCTACCTTGCCAGACACATTACTGTCTTTAGCACGCTATTCATTCCAGCCACATCAGTTTCCTTGCTATTCCTGACACATGACATCCAATCTCCTATCTTTGTGTCTTGGCAACAGGGGCTTTCCCCATTTGTCTGGAATTCATGCCCTCTTCATATTCAACCTCTTTAGGTAGAATCCCTAGTTTCTTCAAAGCTCAACCAATGTTCCTGCCTACAGAAGGCCTTTCCTGATTCCCTTAGCTATTAGTGCCTCCAACCCAAATATTGTATATTTACCTTTTATATATTTTGTATCTGCGTGTGTGTGTGTGTGTGTGTGTGTGTGTTGCTTCCTCTTAGAGAATGTAAGCTCCCTGAGGGAAGGTGTTCTTTGATTTTTTTATCTTTGTAAACCCAGGGAGTCATAGTGGTTGGCCCATAGTAAATGCTTAATAAATGCTCATTGATTGATTGGTCATATTTGATCTTCTTGAGGACATAGGGATCATTGAGTCAAAGGGTATGAACAATTTTGTGACTTTTCTCAATATTTTCCAGAATGGTTGGACCAATTTACAGCTTCTCCAACAGTTTGTTTGTGTGTGTGTGTGTGTGTGTCTGCCTGTCTTCCCACAACCCCTCCAACATTGACTATTTTCACCTTTTATCATCTTTGAAACATAGAAAAATATGAGGTGAAACCTCTGAGTTGTTTTTATTGGTATTTCTCATATAGTTAGTGACTTGCAACAATCTTTTATATGGTTCTGATAGTTTTTAATTTCTCTTTCAAATATTGTTTGTTCATATCCTTTGGCTTGTTATCCATTGAGGAATGGCTCTTAGTCTTAAAAAATTGTGTCAATCTCACCATGTCTTAGATATCAGACTTAGATTATCAGAGACATTTGATGTAAAGATATTTTCCACTTGTAATTTTTCATCTTATTCTAGCTACATTGGTTTTGTTCAGGCAAAATAGACTTTATCTTTTTTTTCTTTGAAAGCTGTCCAAATAGCATTTCACATCATTACCTATTTTCCTTCTGATTTTCGATTTTACAATGAGGTTTCTGAAAAACAAGCTAGTTGAAATTGGCACACCCAATTATCCTCTTAGTACACACAATTTTCCTTTCTGCTAACTCTGCTAACAAATGTGGTTCACTGATCAGACCAAAAATGTAATATTGATTTGATTGATGTTTTTTGTGAGGAGTCAATGTGTACTGTTTTATCTTCCTTGTACAGGTTGAAACACAGATTACACCTGCTGCTTTGCACGCACATCCCTCATTAAGAGTGATCTCTCTTTCAGAACCAAAGGTCAAAACAGAAACATTATATTTTGAAAGAGGAAGAAACGACTTGCCAATTCGCCCTGTAAGATGCCACTTTTTTTCCCTGTTGTCTGGAGAAAGATCTGACTTTTGGTCGGTTCCTTAATGTTAGAACAATGGGCCAGATAGAAAAAAGCTGAAATTTAGTAAGGTTAACTGAAAAGTTCTACACTTGAATAAAAGAAAGCAACTTTGCAAGCATTGGTTGGAGGAGGACACAGATGGAAGTTTTTATGAAAAATAAAATTCAGGGACTTTAGTCAATTAGAAAGTCAATATGAATCAACAGTATAATATGGCCAGCAGAACAGCTAATGTAACCTTAAGCTTCATTGAGAAGCATAGTATCCGGAACAAGGATCTATCTCTGCCAGATTTTGCTCTGGTCAGAACACATATGGAAATTTGTGTTCAGGTTTGGCCACATATCTTAGGAAAGACTTAGTTAAGCTGGAATGTGTCCATTAGAAGGTAAGTAGGATGATGAAAGGACTGGAGACTGTAGCATAGCAAGGAAGGTCAGCAGAAAGAGCTGGGAATGTTTAGCTTGAAGAAGAGGACTGAGAGGGGCTATGGTATTTTCTACAGATGATTGTAGGGCTGATGTGTGAAAGAAAGTTTAGTTGTTGTTTTTTTTTTTCTGCTTGATCTCAGAGCAATGAGTGGAAGTTACAGAGAGAGACTTAGGCTTGATATAAGAAAAGAAGACTTCGTAACACTGAGAGCTTTCCAATAAGAGAATGAGCTTCCTCCCCTAAACCCTCCATTGAAAGTTTTCAAGAAGAGGTTGTGTGACTTCTTGTTGGGGCTACCATAGAAGAAAGAGAGCACTGGATTTGGGTGAGGGAGGATCTGGGTTCAAATCCTGGCTCTGCCCCTTCCTGTCTATATGACTTCAGGCAAATCACTTAATCTCTCTCTAGGTCTCAAGTTTTTCATGTGTATAATGAGGGATTTGGACTAGATCATGTCTTAAATCCCTTTTATCTCTAGCTCTAGGTTTATGATTTATGACCTGTGGGCTCCAGGTTGGACTGGGTGGTCTCTGAATACTCTTGTAACTCTATCATTCTATAAATTCTAGCCCTCTTCCCATAGGGCATCTTAGAAGAGTATCCTATGGAGAGAAGGGATACCTGGGCATACAATCCAGAGCTGTTGTGTCTGGTGTGGGGTTTGCACATTTGGGTACTCACTAAATACCAGCAGATCATGCTTTGGGCAGCGTTAAAGGGTCCTGAGGAGTGCCTTGAATTTGACTTGGGTAGATCACATCTCTTGGTTCTTCAGTCTTCCCATCTGTAAAATGTAATAAGATTTACCATGCCCTACACATTAACCACTGGGTTTCTCTCTCTTTATCTGTAAAATGAAGGAGTCAAATGAAATGAACTCTTAAGTATATTCTATCTCCTTAGATTCTTAAATTTTTAGTTATAGAAGACAGTATAGATAAAAAGCATTATTTCATGTAATCATCATAAAACAAGTTAAATATGTAACAATGAAATATCGATACATACATATATATGTGTATATATGTATATATATATAATAAAAATTCAAAAGATATAGTAATATTGACTAAAATATCAACCTTGCTATGTCAGTGACTTATTAGTGTAGGAGCTCCTGCCACACAGGCAGATTGCAACCTGTCTAGAACTAAATGTCTTAGAGAGCTGTCTTAGACTCAGAGAGAATAAGTCAAGCGGCTGGTGACCTCCTAGACCATGGCTTCTCTCATCTTAATATTGATAGTTTATCATAAAAGCAACATAGAGAAATGTAAAATGGTAGATACATTCCAAAATTAAGGTCAACAGGCTTGGTGGATTTGTTTTTGTTTTTTGTTTCCCTTCAAAGGTATCCACTGCTGCCATGACAGCTCAACCAAGTCTTCGTACACTGTTTCTAGCTAAAGCCAAAACAGTGCATAGCGATTATCTCCCGGTGCATCCAGTTCAGCAGCCAGTGTCACGTGCCGCCCTAAAATATATCCCATCACCTAGGATTGAAGTACTATCTACCCCCAATCTAAGGTATGCATGTACCAAGAGAAAAAGAGGAAAAATGAGTTGGGAAGGGAGGTGTAAATAAGGAAAAAAGCTCAAGAGATGAAACATTTTCAAAGAAATCTTACTTGTTACATTCACCTTGGCATATCATTAGCTTTTTCAGAATAAAACACTGAGCTTTTGTTTAAGGTTCAGAGGACCCAGTGTTGACTGGAAGTCAAAAAACTTGGTTCTTGTTCAGACTGTTGGGTTCATTTTCTGTCTGACTTCTTAAGCAAGTTATTACATTTTGGATTTTATTTCTTTTATCTACAAAACAAGTTCAACCACATTAGGTCCTTGTCCATCTAGTAAGAACAGTAAGAGGGCTCATATGATTAATACCTGAAAATAGAGTAGATGATTTGAGTTCTGGAAAAGGAAAATGTAAGTTTCTCTTCTATATAATGTTCATCCTGGTCAATGGTGAATTAAATGAAAGGCACTTTCTCTAGAGGGGAGGTAGGGAGGAAAGAATCGAGTTAGTGACTCAGATTCAATCTGCATGTTGATGGCTGAGTCAGGAAGGTGACCCATGGATTGGCGGAGTAGGAGGGCTGATTAGGTTCCAAGTTATGGTCTTTTCTCTGAGGTCAGTCTAAAACAGTATGGGAGGGTACTGTGGTTCAAGAGTGCTGAGAAGAAGTAGATCACAATTTTTTGGTGAAAACCTGTGACATAATGCATAGTTATTTAGTAGTGAAGAGTTGGCCAACTTTGGAGTCAGTATGATGTAGGTTCAAATTCTACTCCTGACACATACTGGCTTCATGACTCTGGACAAGGCTTTTCAATCCTCAGTACCCCCAGGCCACAGTGTAGGACTATAAACTGCGGATTGTACTGGCCAAACGAATTTCTTTACTATGAGCTCCCTCCTTTGATGAAATCACAGGTCAAAATTATTCAAAATACTCGAGTCATTTTTTTTTCTCCGGAAGACACAAGGGAGCTGGTGGTAGTGCAGGACAGGGACTGAGGACAGATGTTGTAACAGCTTCTTTGCTCAGTGTCTTGGCATAAGCCAACTACTTTTAAGTACATAATACCTTTGCAGGGCTCTGCTTATTCATGAGCTCATCTAGTGTGAGCACTGGTGTTATTCCTCAATAATAAAAGAGAACTAAATGTTAACTATTTTAGGTCATGTAGTTTGTTTTGTAACAAGTGCTATACCACTGAGAAATTTCCAGTTTTCTTTCTTTTTTTTTTGGTGAGGCAATTGGGGATAAGTGATTTGCCTAGGGTCACACAGCTAATGTCAAATATTTGAGGCCAAATTTGAACTCAGGTCCTCCTGATTTCAGGGCTGGTGCTCTATCCACTGCACCACGAAGCTGCCCCTGTTTTTTTTTTTCTAAAATGTTAGACTTATTTTGATTTTTCCCTTTGCTTTGTTTCAGAACTCCATTGAGTGTGAATGCTATTAACCTGGATGCCTTTAAAGTTAAGGATGCTGCAAAAGTAGCAGTGTGTTCACCGAGAATAGTGAAATTGGCAGAGCCTATTAAACGTTGACTGTGCAGAACAGAATGCTTCCAACACCAATTATGTGTCTTGATATCCTCTGAAGATGTCTGACTCTCCTTTTCTGCCAGAAAACATCTATGAGGCCTCTGGGAGAATCACTGTAATGATTAAACAGCCATTGTTTCTTCTGAGCACTTTTGAGTGTGTATTTCTGGTCTTCAACATTCCCCTCTACTCCCACTAAAAATCGAGAAATTGGCAGTAGTGGCACATCTCATCATCATCCTTTTAAGTGAATGAGAACATGCCATTGTTATTGATAAGCCTGAAGTTCTTTTTGTATTTTCTTGTATGTTTTATGTATTTTCTTTTCTAATAAGGTCAGCGCTCCTACAATTTATCCACATTTCTGTCCATTTCTCCTTATAGTATGCATATGTTACCTATCCTCCTTAGAACAGGTAATTTTCTTCCTATACCAGTTACTTTTAATTAGCTGGATATCACATTTATGTATATATTATGATGATGATGATGATGATGATGATGATGATGATGATGATGATGATGATGATGATGATGATGATGCATTGATAAGAAAGGCCAAGCTCTCATGGACAACTTGAAATGTCATTTTGTTCTGGATATAATATAAGAGATGAGTTACTCCAAAGTGTTGCATTTTTGCCAACCTTTTTCTATCTGTGTATGCTCAGTGTCACATAAAATAAGTTTCTTGGTCAACATGGGTGTCACAGGACTGCTTGAAAACATCAGAAAGTTTCACAAGATCACTCCAAAAATTTCATCAATGGCACATCTGCACATGTAAGCTTTACATTTTCAATATTTCAAGGCACATGTAAATTTTACTTTAGATAGAACCACACAACTGAAAAAGAGACAAAAGCAAAGTAGTGAATAATTCTTGGAAAACAATATCTAAGGTAATTTAATTCTATATCCAGACTCTTCATGTTGAAGGAATACCAATTTTATGTTATGTGGATATAAGGTTTATAAGAAGATCTTGTTGAAAATAAGGGTAAGGAGTTGACTAAATGTTAAGAAGGTGATGCAGATGGTAGGTTGGGGAAGGAGGGAACCCTATGGTAACACAATTTTTACTGAAGCCTTTATGTGTGGGACTCTTAATCATACATAAAATTAGTAGGGTAGACTCAGACAATTGACATATATAAATGCAGCCTAGGATACCCCAGAAAAGCTTTATGATCACATGAGAAATTCAAATTAATTCAACTTGTACTTGATCCTATGATACATTGATTTAATATTGTAATCAATTCTTTCTCTACCTAAGTTACCTTTCTATGTCCTTTAGTTAAGCTTTTCCTTCTGAGCCAGTTTAAAATTGAGCCTGTTCATAAGTCACTGTAATTAAAGGGAAAAGACTTATTGTCTACCATTCCTTTAACTCCTGTGGAAATTCCAGGACTTCCATTTGTTATCTGCAAAGGCTTAGGAGCTGACCTGATATATTTCCACAAGATATATTGTCTGTCCTTGCCTATCCTTGTACAATTAAAGAGAATCTTAAGGTCCACTATCAAGGTCTGCAATATGTAGATGGACCTCCTAAATCAATCAAGCATTCCTTAATGACAGAGAGGGATGGTTACTAGCCCCACATGAGTGATAGCCCATTCTCCTCGATTTAATCAATCATGATGCTGTCTACCTTGTAATCAATGACATTGTCTTCCTTACCTACCCAACTTGGTTCTTTGTTCCATGCTTCCCTCAAAACTCAAAAAAGTGTTGTTAACCCCATAACTGGGTCTTAGCTTTGCTAGGGAAGCTAAGAATCTATTTATTGATAAATTTGTGCTTTATCAATAAATTGAATTTGTTCAGAGCTTTGTGCCTCAGTTTATCTCAAATTTCAAACACAGCACATTCATTCACCTGTACCAGGTTGTCACTCCTCTTCTCTCTCCTGTCCTCACATAAATGTGCTAAGTGTAGCCACAGTCAACAACATATCCAATGGGGACAAAACACAGGGCCTGCACAGGGATTTTCAGCTCACCATTCCCAAATGCTGGTTTACTGGAAGAGACAGAGAAAATCCTATTTCAGTAATGGCCCCAAGAGGTCTAAAACAAGTCTTACCCTTCTCAAACCTAGGAGACTTACCTGGATCTGAGTTGCTCTTCACAAGTAACTGAATCTGTCCCAAGGCTCCCCAATAGTGACCAGTCTATTATTATTAACAGAAGATGCCTTATTTCATCTAATTCATCTTCCTCCTCCTCAATTCACCAAAGTGCATTATGCTCATAGTGGAATAATACAGCTAAGCTGGAGTGACTTGGCATGCTCCAGCTTTGTAGCTTATTCTGGCCATGTTATTAACATTCTTCACATCCCTTCTCCTTCAGGTCCTCTGGTGAAGATGGTCCATGCCTCTGATGAAAGTCTCTAACTAGGGAGGAGGCATCTACACCTTTGACAGATATTCTCTTATGTAGCCTTCTGGTCCATGGCCTTTATATCATCATGGCCCCCACTTTTGGCAGCCATACAAAGCACACTTATCTCATACTTTTCTCTTAATCCTACCCACATGAAGATGGATAGCTCCATGTGAAACAGGAGAAATACATTGGTTTGGAGTATGAAATATGAAAGACTGAATGAATCTTCTAGGTCCATGGTAGTCTTAGATTATTAGTTCAGTCACTGAGGGAAATACTCTGAGTCATCTGCTGTCTAAGGCCCAGCTAGGACGGTCTTTGTACTGAGGTAGGTATGATCTAGTCAGACTGAATATCCACAAAGGTTCACATTAGAACCTTTGTTTTATACTTATTTCCCTATTACTTTCTTTGCTCTTATATCTTTGATTAGTGGCTTAAGTTCCACTTTGTAATAATAGCTAATAATAATAGCTAACATTTATTTAGCATTTACTGTGTGCCAGGAACTGTGCTAAGTGTTTTACAACTATTATCTCATTTGATTCTCACAACAATCCCAAGAAGGAGGTGCTATTATCCTCATTTTTTTTAACAGATGAAGGAACTGAGGCAAGCAGAGGTTAAATGACTCGCTCAGAGTCACATGGCTAATAAGTTTCTGAGTCTGGATTCAAACTCAGGTCCCACCACTGATCATATCAATAAATGCAGAAGTTTTTCCAATTAATATTTTATTTTCCCCCAATTACATGTAAAAACAAATTTTAACATCCTTTTTAAAAATTTTGAGTTCCAAATTCTCTCACTCCCTTCTCTCCTCCCTCATTAAGAAGACAAGCAATTTGATGTAGGTTATACATGTGCTATCATGCAAAACATTTCCTTATTAGTTATGTCATTTTATGACCAAAAAAAAAATAAAGGCAAGGAAAATAAAGTAAAAAAGTATGCTTCAATCAATGTAGAAGTTTTTGACAAAGTACAATATTCAATAAAAACAAAACAAAATAAAACCTTCCTCAAAACATAGACATATGAAGATATTTTTCATGTGATATAAAGTACCTAAAACCCAAGGTAGTATTATATGCAGTGGGAAAACTCTAAAATCTTTCCCAATTATTATGGGAAAAAAACAAGGATTCATGTTTGTCCTACTATTATTTGATATTCTAGAAATGCTAACAATAGCAATGACAAGAGGAAGAAAAGCATATATCTACACAGAAGAAAAAACTCCCCATTATCTAAGGACATAAGTTTTACTTAGAAAATCATAGAGAATCAGCAAAGGAGCAAAGTGAGTTCCTTTCAGTAGTTTTAGTAAGGCATCAGGCTACAAAATAAACCCACATAAAAGCAATATTTTTATGACTCATAAGCAATTACAAAATCCGGGAGAGAATAATAGAAAAGGGAAGTCCCATTCAAAATAACTATAAAATGTATGAAATGGCAATCAGAACCAAATCTGACTCAATATTTGTCTAGATAGAATTATAAAATGTTTCTGAATGAAATAATGAACAATACAATAATCAGGCATTTGGCAGTTACGGTTGAGCCATCAGCCAATGTGCCAATTTAATAAAAATGATATTAATACAATAAAAATGAAGGATTTTAGTACTGTATCAGCCAAACTGGTATAGTCAAACAGTCAAATAACTTATAGAGCTAGACAAAATAGTAATAAATTTGGAGGGGAAAAAAGATCTAAAATATAATGTGAAACAATGGGAAAAAACTAAGAATGTAGGGGAGAATAGCACTTCCAGACCTATAACCATATTATAAAGCAATAATCACCAAAACTATTAAGTATTGGTCAAAAAAAGTAGAAAAATATTTCAGTGAAACAAATTAGAAAAGAATCAGAGGTAATCAAACTCAACCTACCAGTCAATAAATCTGGAAGAATTTCTGGGAAAACTGGAAAGCAATCTGGCAGAAATTAGGTTTAAATCTAACACCATATATCACAAATTCAAAATGGGCATGTGAGCTGAGTCATGCCATAAAAAATTTAGAAGAGAATCATCCCCTGTAATTTCATAGCTATGGCTAGAGGGTGAATTCTTAACCAAACAAAGGATCAAGATGATTGCTACAATAGAGGAGATATCAATGACATGAAGCTGAAAAGCTTTTGCAAGAACAGAGTTAGGATAACAACTAGGATAAGAAGTGAAGTTGTTGACTTTGGGAAAGGATATGAATAATTATCTTTTTTTTTTCTAATGTGAGGCAACTGGGGTTAAGTGACTTGCCCAGAGTCACAAAGCTAGTGAACGTTATGTGTCTGAGGTCACACTTGAACTCAGGTCCTCCTGACTCCAGGACTGGTGTTCTATCCACTGTGCCACCTGGCTGTCCTGATATGAATAATTCTCAAAAGAATTGCAAATTATTAACAGCCTTCCAAAAGAATGTTCTATGTCACTAATTAAAATGAAAACAATTCTGAGATTTCACCTTATACCCAGAAAATTGAAAAAATGACAAAAAATGGAAATGGTCAACATCGGTGGAATTGTAGAGAGATGGACACACTAATACACTGTTGTGGAGCTATGAATTGGTCCAACCATTCTGGAAAGCATTTTGGAATTATGAGAAAAAAAGTGACTAACATGTCCATGAGATGTCCCAGAAGTTCCCTTGCTACTTATATACCCTATGGAGGCCAATGACAGAGTGAAAGTTTCCCATATTCACTAAAATATTTATAGCATTAGTTTTTGTAATAGCAAAGAATTGAAAATCAATAAGTAAATATTATTATTAAGCCCTTACTATGTGCTAGACACTGTGCTAAGCACTGGAAAACAAAGTAGATGCCCATCAATTCGCTAAACAAATTGTGGTATGTGAATGTGATGGAATATTACTTTGTCTTAAGAAATAATGAATGTGATTAATACAGAGAAGCATGGGAAGACTTATATGAACTGATGTAAAGTGGAGTAAGCAAAACCTGGAAAAGTCTACAGAATGACTATAATAGCATAAATAAAAAGAACAACAAAAATCAAAGCAATGATATGAAATTATAATGACCAAGCTTGACCCCCAAAGATGTATAAGAAAATATTTCCCCCTGCTGTTGTTCAGGTGAGAGACTATGAGTGTGGAACACTAAATATAATGTCAGATTTTTTTAATACGTTGATTTTGATGAACTCCCTCCCTTTTTTATTATAAGGGATGCTCCCTGGAAGGGAGAGGGGAGTATATTGGGTCGTATGAGTAATATAAAAGCAAAGATATTAATAAGAATTATATTTTTAAAAATATGCCTTCTAAGGGTTATTTTGTAGCTTAAAACATGGAATCATGTGACACATTCTTGAGAAATGATTCACTGGCAGTGTTCTCCTGTGAAGGTGATTAATTATAGATTCAATTCCTATTCAATAAGGTGGCAAAGGGGCAGGAGGTTGCTCCTAATGGCTGTAAGATTGGGTCCTTGGTGTGTTAGTGCTAATCATGCACTCTGCATCTTGTTGGACTTCCTGTACATAGTCAGGGCCCAATAATGAATGCTTCCAAATTAAATTTGGGGATTGCACTTCTCCTGAATGTCTGGTTTATAGGACGTCATTAATAATGAGCCTGCAGGATCTTCTCTAGTGACATGGCACAATGACCTGATCCTGGATGAATCACAATGAGCACTCTTCCTACTCTGTTACATTTGCTGCACATTCTCCAGGCATGAATAACAGTTTTATCTTGGTTTCATCCTTGTAGGCTTCCAAACTTTTCACTGGTACATTGACCAAACTGATTGTCATTCCAGGCATTTGAATCATCAGGAAGAGCAATTGTGAAAAAAATTATGTTCAATGTGCATGATAAACTAACAAGACCCCCTTAAGCCATGACTATCCTAGAATACGCCATTAGTAAAAGTTTGTTATCCCTAATTAATATTGCAAATCTTAACTTCTGCAACAAGAAACTAGTCCTGAATACAACTGTATAGTTATGTTGGTTCCATTTTTCATCCCTCCAAACCAAGAATAAAATCTCAGAAAAGTTATCTGTCTGTAGGAATACACATTTCTTTGGTTTATAATATGAGTCATGTCATCTAAGTAGGCAGGGATATACTGAAGGAAAGAACTGTAGTAACTTTCTTAATCATAGGCTAGAATATGAAGGGCATAACCAACTATTCATAAAATCTGGTGTGCTCTAAACGGTATATTCCATTTATCCATAGCCTCACAAAAAATCCATCTTAATATAGAATTCTAGCCCAAATATCTGAGATCAACAGGAGGTGGTTACAGAGGGATTTCAGAGGATGTAGGAGGTATTGTGGAGTAATGGAAAGAGTACCAGACTTGAACCTGGAGGGCGTGGGTTTGAATCCCATCTGTTGTATTTAATGACTATGTGCCCTTAGGCAAGTCATTTACCTTTCTTG